GGTTCTTGTCTCTCTGTTCGAAAATCTCGATCCAGCTCGGGCTGACCTGCTCCCGAACGAACTCGAATTTTGCGCGTTATCTAAAAGGAACACTAAGCGGTCTCGTGGTCCTGAACACGAATGAAAATAAACTCAGACACACTTGAAATTAAACCGGTACAACTCGTCACGACGTTCGTATCACCCGGGTACAAATCGAAATTAAAATCCTCGAAATGAAAAACGTCTTACAACGATACGCAGACACCGGTACAAAAGGGTAATGAATCGAATCGAGAATTCCTCTAAAGAAGGAAGAGAAAGATAGGGAAAAGAAGAGAATGTCGCGAGACGAATTTGATCGTCTTCAGTAGTATGCGTGGACGTAGATCAAGTTGTGGATCGGGTGATGGTGAGCATGGGGATTGTGTAACGGGGTGCAGAAGGAGGTGGTGGTGATCGTGGTCGGGGATGGTGGATGATTGACAGACTGCATCGTGGAAACGGGCGACACCTGATTGGGGGGACCGGCCGGCACTTGATACACGGTATTGGGCGCGGCCATCGGGCACCTTGAGGCCCCGGCTGCGCCGTGTTGGGCCCCATGCTGTTGTTGTTGTTGCTGTTGTTGTTGTTGTTGTTGAATGTAGTTTGGTGGTAGACATACCTCGAGGCGGTCGGTACGTGGCATCTTCTGCGGCATCGCCACCGTCTGCGGCACCACGCCCAACGGGCTTCCGACTCCAGTGGGGTCCGCCGGACCCATGATCGTGGGCATGATCGGGCTGGGCGCGAAATACGGACTGTACGTGTTGCCAACCTGCGGCATACCGGTCAGGTACGGATTCGTCGCCTGTGAAAACACACCCGGAAAGTATCCAGGTAATACGGATTAGAACACACCTATCCCCACCTTCGCTCTAACGAGAGTCGACGCTCTCGGATCTTACGTTAGACATTCTTAGAAACCGCCACTTTCTTTAGCCCTCGTTAAACGACCCAACGACAAGCGCGATGCAAAAGATACCCCACCCGACTTTTAGCTGTATATCCCGCGACTTTTATTCTCTAACGTGATCAAAGCGATCAAGACTACGCGAGCGCTTCTGTCTCGTGGTTGTTAATCTTGCTCCTGTTTCGCTTTTTAGTTTTTAGAGGAGTAGAATATTTATAATTTAATCTGTTCTCTGATTGCTCGTTTCCAAAGTAAGCAGACATTTCCGCGAGGACGAATAATTCATGATTATGTTGCAACTTGAATCAACAGGTAATCCACTTTACGTACAATAAGCTTGTAAAGCATTTTACTCTGTGATCATGATAAATGATCTAATTTTCTATATCCTTTTAATATCAAAAATAAGAAGAGATCCCTTGTATCTTGTAAAATCTTAACAAATGAGAATATTCTTTGTTTTGATTATGTCAATCTCATTGTTCATTAAAGATTTCTAATTTGAGAAAAGTTAAAATATTCCAAGAATTGTTTCAGTCGATATTTCCAGGTCATGGGAGCCTGAACGAACAAAGAAGGAGCGAAACACGGTAATCGCTCGTGTAGCCTTCATCGTTATTTTCTTTCCGGCGATAATTCGGTGTTTTGAACGACAAGCGCTTGTTCCAATAAGAAGCGTTTTTGGTTTTGCAGAGAAACGGACTTTTCCCAGAAGCGAAGGTAGGTAATTTGAAGCGCAGCCGAATGAGCTGAACGCTCGTTTTCCTTCTTCTTCTTTAAGGACCTGTGTGCTTGTATTCTTCGAACTTTTCGCCGACGTATAGAAGCTTCCGGACGCGCGAGACACGCTAACCACCGCGCCGTGCCGAAAAACTTCCAACTAAATAGAAGATAATGGTTACTGACCCGGAAAACCGTTTTCCCGTTACGTGCCCGGAGAAAACGGTAATTTTTCATCGAGAAGCTAGCGTGTCTCGATCGTTCATGATCGTTATGCACGTTCCCCTCGCTTCGAGAATCAATTTCTCAGACCGAGGTTGCGAACTGATCGATAAAAATATAATTAAAAAATCCGCTACACAGGACGTTCCATTATTCCATTTATAATGAAGAAATTATAAGAACATTATCATTTTGTGATACAGATTTATATAAAAAT